CATTTACCTTTCTGGGTTTCAGTTTTCCCATCAAGTTAACTGATTAGATGATTCCTAAAGGTACTTTCAATAATATTGCATTCCATCATTCTAACATCTAATTGGATATTGCTGAAACATGAGTACTATGCACTCTTCAAAGTGTCCAACTGAATACAATTTATAAGCAAGTACACATGTTCTTTCTAACACCAGAACATTTATATTTTATCTAAATTGCATCAGTGTAAAATTAGATCCTTTTTCATATTACTGTCAATCTGTTAGCTTTTCAGAACCAACCAAGGAGAACGATTATTTTCTCTTTCAAGTTATGGCCAAAGTTAGCATTTTTTGGTGCTTTCCCAACTCCCCTGGAACTACATTTCTGCATTATGCTAATCCTTCTTCACACATGCTGATGTTGTAAGCACATCACCTCCCATGGGACAAATCCGTAATTTGAAAAATAAAATTTATTCTTGTGTAGAAAAGTATGCCTTAAACTTACTAATGAAAACAAGACATTTGCATTTTATATTTCAAAGAGCTTTCACATTCATCACCTTGTATAAGGGGACATTTAAAAAAAAAATTTATGTGCCGAACAGAAGTTGTATATTGTTGTGATCATTTCTGTGATACGACAACCTGGTGAGGGAGACAGGGAGGGCAAGAATCGTTATCCAGGGGTACAAGCGAAGTCACAAAGCCACAGGCAGGCCAAAGGATAGCTCACGATCACGTGTCTTGTGACCTCCAGGTAATTTGAAGGGTACTTTGACCTTGGCCTAAAGGCACTGACAATTTAATAGATGTCATATAAACACAACTGATTTGTTTTTATTTGATGAACTGACGATGAGAGGGAGAAAATGTGATTATTTAATGGCAATCTTTATGAGTTTAAAAGAGGCAGAATGATACTAAAGCTTTCCCCCCAAAAAAGAAAAAGAAATCAATAAGGTGGGGAGGGGAGGAATGGGAGGGAGGGGGACAGGAGGGTGGAAGGGAGACAGGCAGACTCCATTCTCACTCACGTCCCAGCACTTCACTTGAAAAACCCAGTATCTGGAAATGCAGATGAACATAAATGTTTGAGGTAGCAAGGCATACAGACACACAAAGCTACTGTGGAGGGACAGCCTTCAAAGCAGTGTCAAGAACGTTACATCTGTACACTTTCTTGTCAGATCTATTAGGATTTCAGTTATCATACCTGTTGAACTCACACTTACCAGAACAGGCTTAAGCCATGCTGTCTTCTCTTGTTCAAATCCCTGCCCTAATGAAAAAACGTAACAGGAATTCATTGTTCCACCTATTTGACATGGAACACGCTTACTAGTATGTGGAAAAATACTGACCTTTTCAAATGTCAGGGTATGATAAGCCAGGTGTTTCCATAAAGGAAAAAGAAGAGAGAAATAGAGAAATGGTCAAAATACAAAGCTTTTGAAAAATCCCAAAGAAACCACTTCAACCCTTAGGTATAAACTATGTCACATCACAGACAACGTTCTCTTTCTCAAGATAATAGAAGGTGGCAACTACAACACAGCTACATTCTCCTAAAAGCGATCTAAGGGTTGAGATGGTATATGTAAAATGAACCTATTTGTCAGTAAGCCTCTAATAATTCACAGTTTTCATCATCTGAACCTAGGCTGTGGATTCTACATGTTATTTCTGAACAATTTTTTAAATATCAAAACAAATCTTCTGGATCTAAAATTCAATGAGAAACTGTAACTTCTCTCTATATTTTAAGAAGGGCCCATTGCATCGAGGACAATGACAGTAGCAATGATAGCTAACACTTACTGAGGACTTAACACGTACCAGGCCCTATGCTCAGTGTTTTGCATATATTAATACATGAATGAAAGAACCTTTTAAGGTGAGTATTATTATCATCCCATTTTGTAGATGAGAAAACTGAGGATCCAAGAGGCTAAAGAGCTATCTCAGGGTCTCATAACCAGTCGGTAGTAGCTCCAGGATTATAATGCAGGCCACGTGCCTCCCAAATCATTGCTCTTAGACATGATCTTACAAAGGTACAAAGGAAGCAGGGAGGGAGAAAGAAGAAAGAGGGGATGGGAGGGGGAAGGGTGGAAAGAAGGGGGAGTGAAGAAAGGCAGAGAGGGAGGGAGACAGGAGGAGATGGGAGAGAGAGAAGAGGAAAGTTTGGAGGGTAGAAGGGAAATGGCAGAAGATGTCAAAGGAAATAACTCAAGTTTCAAAAGGACAGTTGAGCTGGATCAACAAACAGGTGTGAAACTCAGCTAGTAAGTCACTGAGAATACTTCTGCGAAAGTGAAGCATGCATTCTCATGTGAGAAAGTTGGGGGAGGGAAAGTTGTGACAGAAATAAGAATGCTGTATTACTCCTTTAGAACTATCTACCAAGAACTGTGTTGGACTTGTTCCCTGAAAACTGCTAATAAGAGAATGAAAAAAAAAAAAGGGAAATTTTTCACCATGCACTCATTAGACGCAAACCCAAGTGGCCATTTTTCTTCTTGAGCAACAGAGGTTAAGACACAGTCTTCTTGTCTAATTCTTCGTTAGCCGTTCTTGTCTATTCTTAGCCAAAGAATAAACAGAGCTCCTTTAAGAGACTCATAACTTACTGCTGCCTAATCTGAGGCCTGACATCCATGTTACGATTGGATGGCTCCAAATAATCCTCTCCAGCTCATTCTCCACAACTTCCCTCGGCTCACTCAAATTTAATTTTTTGTTATTTCTCAAATTACCCCATACCTGCCCACCCAAACGCTCAGTTTTCTTCATGTTTGACCGAATCCTACAGTTCTCCAATTCCCAGCTAAAATGCACTGACCCCACCATTACAAAATGGATGGAGACAGTGGAAATGGAAAGTGGATCCCTTCAAAACTGATCGCCACTCACTGGAAAAGAGCTGGAAATATCTCACTGTTACTGCGTGGGAAAGCCAGCCCACTCTGCCAGAAATTCAAATTTCGATGTGAAATCTTGCAATTTTTATATCTTTACAACTAATCGTTATGATTATTTTTGTGCTTTTTCTATAATAAAATACAGTGCAGGCAAATAAAACCCATTTGTGTGCTGAATCCAGACTGTGACCATCAGCTTAGGATACCAGGCCTGATATTTGCAGGCAGGTGCGATAGAAAGATAGAAGGTCAGATATCTGTGACGTTTCTATGAGACACATTGAGTCTTTCTCTAATTCTTGCCGTCACTACTGGGGGAGGGGAAGGAAGTACTTACAGCAAATTTTCCCAGGAGCCTGGAGAAGGACGAATGCCCCCAGCTATGGCATCTGGGTGGCTTAAACACAGAAATGTATTGTCTCACAGTCCTGGTGCCTAGAAGTCCAAAATCAAGCTGTCAGAGGGTGGGTTCCTTCTGCAGGCTGTGTGGGAGAATCTGTCCTATGCTTCTGGTAGGTAGCCTCAGGTGTTCCTTGGCTTATAATGGCATTCTTACTTCATCTCCATGTAGTCTTCTCTCTGAGCATCTGTTTCTGTCCAAATTTCCCCCCTTTTAGAAGGACACATTCATACTGGATTAGGACCCAGCCTAACGATCACATCTTAACTTAATCATCTGCAAAGATCCTATCTCCAAGTAAGGTGCATTCACTGACACTGGGTGTTAGAACTTCAGCATCTCTGGGGAAACGCAGTTCAACCCATTAACAGTGATACTGTCCACAGTCCAGTGCTTCCCGCAGAGTAACCTCTGCTCCTTGGAAATCCCAGCAGGAGTCTGGGCCACAAAAGGAGAACAGGGAATTGTGGCAGTAACATCAGTTAAAGCGCAGGGTCCTGGAACACAGAAATGCTTTTCTACTCTGGGATGGAGAATGCTGAAGACGATACTATTTCTCCTGGGAAACAAATAATGATCTTTCCTCCCTCCCTCTAATTTGAGGATACGCTCAGCTCTCTATACATCTTGCCAAAAGTGCTAGCAGTTGTTCTGTATGTCCTGCTTCGGACAAATGGCCTTGAAGAGTCAGGTCATACCTGATTCTACATGACTAAATGTACCAACTGCCTCTGTACAGAGCTGTTCACTGGCCAAAATGACAGTGGAAAACACTGCTGAGCTTCTGCAAATACATGAACTACATGGGAAAGAGGTCTTCTGAAAGTGCCTCCTACCATGAACTCAGGACCCCACCACTCCCCTATTTCCTTCTCAAACATCGATAGTATTCAACCAAAATAGAAATTATTCAGAACCCAGCTGGGCCACCCACCAGGATACATGGAAATACCATGGGTCTTGAATGAGACATCTCTGTTTCTCTGAGGCCTTTATGATGTGAAACTTGAAAACTCAATTCATTTCTCTGGATAAATTTGGCTACTTGTAAAATGAAGACACTGAAGAAGGTTATAAATAAAGATAAAGAACGTGATACACATAGAGGGAAATATTGTTAGCTGTTTCTGTGAGAATCCTGGAAGGCTTAACCAAAGATGTAAATTTGAATTGATTTTGATAAAAATTAGTGAGAAATTCACCAAGGAAAAAAAGAAGGAGTGAGCATTCCAGGCAAAGAAAAAAGCATGTGAAAAGTGGAGAGAAAAAAACAATATGGCACATTAGAAACAAGTAAATGCCACCAACTCTAAGATAAGTCATCAATGTAAAAGACAGAGTAACAGTTTTGTTGTGGTTTTTTTTCAGAAAGAGAAGCACTAACATATTACTTGTACATCTCAATTTTCATATACATACTCTTTTCAGTAATGATGATATACAAAAAAAGAAAAATGCCCCAGAATCAAGAAAAAATAGACGATCTGATAAATTCCTTCCAGCTCTAATATTTTATAAATTGGTGCGCTGCCAGGGTCCCAGAGACTGATTCAGCTTAGCAATGGAAAATTGAGTACTCATTATGGATAAAGCTCTGTGCTGAGTACTAGGAGAAGGCAGGAGATATAAAAATAATTTAGAAATAGCTTAGAAAGTTAAAAGATGTCAAGGTAAATTCTGTGTTACCACCACATCTCTTCCAATCTGTATACTTAATCTGCTAATTTTTCGGTACTCAAATACAATCAAGGAATGTGTCATTAATACTCAAATACCTGGGTTAATTTTTTCTCTTTCTTTCTTTCCTACCTTTCTTTCTTTTCTAACCTTTACTTCTTTCCTACCGTTCTTTCTTTCTTTCCTACCTTTCTTTCTGGTTCTTTCTTTCCTTCCTTCCTCCCTTCCTTCCTTCCTCCCTTCCTTCCTTCCTCCCTTCCTTCCTTCCTTCCTTCCTTCCACTCTTTCTCTCTTTCTTTCTTTCTCAATTACTAAGAGCTCCTTGAGAAGACTGATGGGACAGGATGCAGCTAGAGCAGCTGGAGTTGTGCATGATCCACATCTACTTATCCATGCTGCAGCCCACACTCAACAATTTTTCTGAATGTCTATTTTACTTCATCCACCAGTGTTTGTCTTCTTTTCCTCCTTAGATATTTTAAAACTCAAAACAGAATTTTCAAAAATCTGATGAATACACAGCGGTGAAGTGGAGGAGGCAGGAGTCTGTCATCAGCTTCTGGAGGACCAGAGCGGGACTGAGGAATCATAAATGATAGGCTGGGCAAGAGATAACACAGGATACAGACATCCTGGGGGCTGCAGTTAAAAGGGAGTCAGAATGAGCCCCAGGCTAGAAAACTGGAAAAGCTGCCAAAAGTCTTTATATAGTCTTCCAGATATTTACACCCCCACCCCAATCCTCAGGTAAAACTCAGAAGAGCTCCTCTCAAGAATCAGATGAAACTGTATGGTGAAAGTTCCAGGATGGTTCCAGGTGGTCCTGGGGGCTGAAGAGGAGCCCAGTGCAAAGTACCAAGTTAATGTCCTGCCCACTCACTCTGCCTAATTACCCCAAAGCTAGATCTGCCCTTGCATATGGAGTTTCAAACCAGCATTTTTATTGACTCATTTCGAAATATGAATGGACAGTCAAGAATCATCAGACATTTGAGGAGAGCATAAAGCATGAGAGAGATCCAGATAAAGAAACTGGAAATAGAGATAATTTGACAAAGTCTTCAAAACTGGGGATGCCCATGCAAGTGAACATCCACGTTGATGAGTGTCTCAGCAGAAAAGTAGGTTAAAAACAACTGCTCTTCTAATGTTCGCCTTATCCCTTGAAATTTCCTATCTTCTGTACATTCTGTGCATGATGAGCATTCTGTAGTCTGTGCTGAAGAGCCCTAGAACCACTGACTGATACCATCCGAAAAAAACGCAATAGAAATAGAATGTTGCCAGTGTGGAATCCTTCTTTGGAGTCCAATAAGTAGATTTGGCAATGTTAATTTAGAATATCCAAGGGCAGTTTCAAAGAAGTGGTAAGTATACAATCCTGAATCTACTGAACACAAGAATTTGGACAAAAGGGCACTGTCCTTAGTTTTTAAAGCAGGGATATTTTACCAGGATTCCCTACACCTCAAGCAAAATATGCCAACACCCAACCCTTTCTGCTCAGACTCCAGCCTTCCAGAGCAATAATTTAATTAGTCCATCTGCTCAGCGAATCAAAAAGGAGGAAGGGATTTTCAGACAATGGATGTGCCCATGGAAAGTCCCCCCAGTTTCTGTAGTCTATTTTCTGTATCAGACAATTTTGAATTTGATCAACATGTTATCAATTTCCTAGGGTCTGATTAACTCACCATCAGGGCTTACATTCAAATTTTGGGCCTCAACTTTGGATGAAGTCACAAAAATGTTGTCATTCTGGGTTGTCTTGACTGGATAGCTAGGCTGCTCCTTGCTTGGCAATATCTTCTGTATTTAGTGTGCATTTCTCTAGAACAGTGATTTTCAATTTTGGCTGCACATTAGGATTATCTCAGGAATTGTTACAAAAAATTCTGATGCCTGGACCATCTCCAGATATTCAGTTTATTTGCTCTGTGGTGGGACTTGGCATTGATGTTTTAAGTGCTTTCCAGGAGACTTAAAAGTAAGCAAGAGAAGAGAACCACTGCTCTGAGGTAAGTCACTGAGGGTCAGGAGTTTAGACTAATACTGGGCTGCTCACAGCTCATCGTGTAGCTTATCACCCATTTTGTATATCAATATTATCAGTATTTTTCACATTCACTTTTTGCCCCATGACCAGACGATTTCAACATGGTGAAATTATGGGGAGAAAGACTGCTACCTGACAGATAAAATAATTTTTGATGCCTGGAACTTCTCAAGAACAGATTGGATCGTAAACTCCCTAACCTCAGAAGGCTTTGAGTTGGACGAAATTAATTCAATATTTTCTGTGGGCCACTGTATGCAAGGAGATCCAAAAATGAGTTAGACACAGCTTCTGTTTTCAGAGAGTTTTCAATGTAAGTTTCCTTCTCATTCTAAGCTTGTATAATTTGCACATCAATTATTTTATTTTTATCAGACTAATAAAATTCAGAACTAGGCATTAGTACTCTCTGCCTTTTCTTGAATTTCACTCTCCTTTTAAAATCTACTTTATTTTTTGATACTCTTAATGGCTACCTCTTACTGGCTATAAAACCTGAGGCAACTTAAACACTCTGAACTTTAGTTTCCTCATTTTTGAGAATGAGTTCATAAGAGTGAAAATGCCTACCCTCAAAAGATTCTTGCAAGCATTAAATGAATTATGCATATAATGTCCTCAGCACAATGCCTAACACAAAGTACCTAGTAAATGTTAATTATTGTCTATCACTCTCAAAACAATATATTCAATGCATAATTTATATCTCTTTTTTCCTGCTATTATTAGAGTTTTTTTTAAAGATGAGATATTTATGAGAATTTCTCTAAGTCACTGACAAGACCTCTATGGACGGTATATGCAGTAATAAATTTTTGTATTTTTTTAAAAAGATATAAAGTGGGAAACACCTAACAAATGAAATTAGGGTGGCAGTTAATCTAGTTAGAAGTGCTGCCTAGACAGACATCCAACACACATTTTATAATCAGATGTTTCATTTTCTTCTTCACATTTGAGCTCTTCATTCTCTTAGAGCAGCTGTATAATTCAATGATTAGAATTATCTTATTACAGACGAGCACTGTGAATGTAAAACACATGCATGAAAATAACAGGACCTTGTATTAGGAAATGATTACAACACAGAGCAGCAACAGCAATTTTGTACTCATTTGTCTTGATGAAACCCATTGCTGTTTTATAAGTCATTAGATATTTCCCAACTCTGCAAAATAACGGAAATTGATGTTTTCCCTCACAAAATGCTAGTTAAAGAAAAATTTTGACGGCAATTGTGATTGTAAATTGATCACAAGCTTTGAAATACCAAATGCAAACAAAGCAGTTCAAAGCCTAAGACATCTGGAGTAACACAGCGATGCAACTCCGGGTGGCTGGGCTTTTTTTTTTTTTTCTTCTGCAGTCATGCAGAATGTTCTAGTTTGGTAAACAGTTTAACCTTTTTGCACGCTATCTGCACGTTTGATTCAAATCCATGGGGGAAAGCACTTTTCGGTGCTTGAGAATTCTAAATGAGAATCCCAATTTTGTTTCAAAAATTTAACATTGAGGGAGAGAAGGAACAAAAAAGGAATCTTGGCCACTTCAGATGCTGTCCCAATCGCTAAGACAAGCCGGAGTACAACCTTATTGTTCGGGGGCAGCACCAGATTCGGAAGGGGAAGACCCAGTTTAAGTTCTGTTCTGCTCTTTACTTGCTGTGCGGCCTTGGGAGTGTTACCACATTTCCCTGAGTCTCTGTTTCCTCCTCTGTAAAGTGGGGAGGACACTACCTCCTCCGTGGAGGTGCTACGGGGATTTGTCAGTCCTCTGTAGACTGAAAACATTTTAAATGATTAAATATGACAAGGTGTGGATGTAGCAGTGCTAGAGGCATGTGAGGAAACTCACACGACGGCAGAGACAAAGGGGACTGAGTCTGTGTCGCAGTCAGGCAGTATGCGTGGCAGAGGTATCGTGCAGCTGGGTGCATCCTCACCTCCACGTTTGTGATCGTCGCCTTGGCTGTGTCCGTTAAATGAGAACCTATGTGACATATCTGGCTCACGGGAGACAGCCAGCAAGTCTCTGCTTATCCACTTTCAAGTACTAACCTATGACTTATTTTTGCTGTGTTTAGATGGTTATTTAATGAATTCATTCAACACACCTACACCAAAGCTCTGTTGGTGGAAAAAATATATATAATTCTATTCTCATTAAGGTTTGGGGTGAGACAGACATCCGATAAATAATTTCCCCAAATACACAAATTATAAATTGTAATAAATACGCTGAAGGAAAGGTACTAAAAAGAAGCAACACAAGAGCGTCCAGTGTGGAAGAGAGAGGGATGATTTCAACCTCTTTATGACTACTTTGATTTTTCAAGCACATCTCCCTTTTCACTACAAACAAACTGAAGCTTCTAAGTATGACTCGGTAGTTACAGTTCTTTGTCATCCTTCCAGCATCTCACTCAATTATTTGCCCAGAATAATTACTCAGTGTATATATAAAGTGATCAGCTTGTAGCACACGCTGCTCTTGTGGTCACTGCACTTGTGATTTACCAGGATTCGCCCTTGGATAAACACAAAGGTCCTAAAACGGCAGCCTTCTAGAGTCATTTAGACACATACGTTAGGGGTTTCCAGTATAAAAGATCATCCCTGCCAAAGATGCTGGGGCCACTCAGCTGCTTCATTCTGCAGGAAATGCTGATTGCCGTGAACTCTGAATGGCTCTCTTCTAGTAAGAAACCATAACCAGATGATGCAAAAATACCTGATTAAAGGAGGTATGAGCCCTTCTCATCAACCACAAACCAGGCCAAGCCAAGCGGATCTTAATGAACGTATCACTTGTCCATCTACTGCCAGTGAGAAAGGTGAAACAAGCAGAGGCAGTGCCCTCCTTCTCCAAGCCCCAGTCCACGTGTCATCACACCTGCAAACGTTTCCGTGACATAAACAAAGCCCTAGACTATAATGAGTCTGACAATTATGCTCATTTGGGCTGAAAAGGCAGAGAAAGATGATTTAAGATCATGTTTGGAGACACCTCAGTGGCAACAGAAACAAAAAATTCACTATAATTAAAAAAAACACAAAACAAAACAAAACCCAACTTGCTCTGACAGATTTCTGTATATTGACTAGTTCTGTTGTGCTGGATGTTCTGTTTGCTTCCTCCACATGCCCTCTCTATCCCTCCCTACTCTGCTTTATGCTACAAAAGGAGGCTCACCAGGACTTACATCATTTGGCTCTCCTGCCCCAACTTCTCTTTGTGTCCAGCCAGTGGGGAGTGGAGGCAGGACTGGAGAGGCATTTATTATGACTCCAGGCTTATATCTCAAGAACCACTGAAAGGCTTATCTATTTAGACGGCTAGCTCCACTCAGCCTTGCATGGAACGTCTCCCTCCCCTCTCCTCTTGAGGCTTAGGGAACACGAAGGGTATAATTGTTTCTAACCTGGCAACTGAACCATCCTTGGTGGCTTTCTTTATGCACCTCTGTATAAATCTTTTTATAAATCTCCTGAAATTATCCTAATTCGGGAGCATAACCTGTTTTCCATTAGAATCTTGGCTAGAGAGAGAGAGAGAGAATTTTAAATTAGAGGAAAGTTCACATATATTAATGTACCACTTTAGTTTTTAGATGGAAAAGAGGGAAAGTTGCTTACACAGAGTGACAAAGCTAGTGGCAAAACAATACCTGAGGGTGTTTTTATCAACTAAGACAGTGCTATAATGCAATAGTTCTTAAAGTGTGAGCCCAGACCAGCAGCAACAGCATCATCAGGCAATGTATTAGGAAGGCAAATTCAAAGGCCCCACCCTAGGCTTTGGATCAGAAATTCTGGGGTCGGGACCAGCAGCCTGTATTTCCCAAACCCTCCAGGTAGCTGAGGGCTACTTAGGTGAGGTGAGTCTGATGCATGCTAAGTGTGATAATCACTGCGTTAAGGTACCATTCTAATACCAAACATATGAGATAAGAGAAAGCTCACTAATTCAGGCTATTATGGGAGAAAGTTCATTTTAACAGAACGCTAAGTTAAATAACAGTCTTAAAACAGAAACAGGTACACCAATGTTCACAGCAGCATTATTCATAACAGCCAAAAGATGGAAACAACTCAAACGTCCCACAGATGGATGAGTTAACAGAATGTTGTATATACATACAATGGAATATTATTAAGCCTTAAAAAAGAAGGAAACTGTGACACATATTACAATGTGGATGAACCCTGAAGACATTATGCTATGTGAGATAAGCCAGACACCAAAGGACAAATATTGTAAGATTCCACTTACAGGAGGTCCCTAGAGTAGTCAAATTCATAGACAGAAAGTAGAATGGTGGTCACCAGGGGCTGGGAGGAGGGGAATGGGGAGTTACTGTTTAGTGGGTAGAGTTTCACTTCACGAGGATGAAAATCTTCTGGAGATGGACGGTGGTGATGGTTGCACAACGTGAATGGACTTAATGTCACTGAACTGTACACTTAACAATGGTTAAAATGGTAACTTTAATGTTATGCATATTTTACCACAATAAAAAAAAAGAAACAGGTATCAATTTTTTTAAAAATGCCCAAAGTAACTGCTAGAAAACTATTTCAAGGCTTATCTCAAATAAAGCTTTTCTTTTTTTTTTTTTCAAGTGGACACGGAGAGTTTATTTTGTAGAAAAGCAACATCTAGAGAACACCACATGAGCTAGTATGTCTAAAGTACTTTATATAAAAATGACAATTTGCTCACAATGACAAGATTGAAGCACTGAAAGCCACCAAAGTACTTTCACATTCCAAGAAGTCAAATTATACCTAGTATGGATTTAATGTGTATAAAAGGTTTTCTTAATGAATCTTGGCTTAATGAGTCTTTTCCTGTTGGTAAGAATCTGGCACATCTTAAATCTTTGATCCAAAAAGCATCCTCATTTCATCATTTACTTATAAATAATTGGCTAAAGTGGATGAAAGTGCTCTGTTTTTATCACATAGTTTATTTCTCATGATAATCTGGGTTGTTATATTTGATTCATAGACGTTACAAAGGAATCTTCAGCCCTGTTCACATTGGTCCGTACTAATCAGCTTGTGACTTATCTAACCCTGCTTATCCAAAACCTCAGAAGTCCCCAGCCAACTCCTCACAAGGCAGGCAGGATGACAGCTGCTGTGGTATCAGTGGTGGCGGCTATAATAGTAGCTGTCATCATCCCAGCGGTCGTCGCAGTAGAAATGGCTGATATTTTACTTGAGTGCTTACTACATACTAGACATTGTTTTAGTTGCTTTATATGTATTCACTCATTTAATTGCCTGACAACTATGTGTGGTAGACACTATCTTGTAAGCTTCACAGAGGTTAAATAGTATTCCCAAGTTTACCCATCTGGTTATTGCGAAAGACGAAAATAGAGATGGTTTGACTTCAGAATCTATGCTTCTTAGCCATTAAGCATCACTACTACCCTTAGTAATGTCTACCACGTACGAGGCACTCACTGTGTGCCAGGAAGCATGCTAGGTGCTTTTTCATACATTATCTCAGAAAATCACACTGAAAAGTTGGAGACACGATTGGTGGAGTCTGTTCATCCATTATCCTCTTTAAAGTATACCTGCGGCCAGGTATACACACTGGAACTCTCCCAGTCTAGTTACAGCTGCTTAAGTTGGAGGCAGTGAGGAGCGCTGAGCTCCTGTAAACACCTGCATTTCCACTTCTACACTTAGAAACATGACAGAAGTTACTATTTTGACTATGTCCCTTGGTTACTATTGTCTCAAACTCTCATCAATCTCTGCTTTTTATTGAAAACCTAGGTTTAAGTAATGATTTAAAAATCAGGATCCTCTCCACCACTGACTGATCTTCATTTATGGACACTTCCAAAATGTTTTGCTAGAACAACTGGGTTTATATAACTAGTCCCAAAAGTGGTGCTTGAAATTTACAATAAGGCTAACTTTTCAATTGAAAAGTGTTGACAGTGAATGACTTGACCTTGCTGCAGCCAGACACATCAGATCTCTTTATCTAAGAGTACTCCACAGAAATTAGCTGAGTCATCATGGATCATTTCAGAAAAGTCCTGTAGATCTGACCTCTGACAGTCTACCGAAAATACCTACTGCAAAAATCCTGGCAACGTTCATACAGCCGTCTAACTTCACCTACAAAGCTGTTATGCTCAAAGAATTATCCCATCATCATCAATTGCATGTGTATTCTCACACACATATTTGGCAAAGAAACTAAGAAACAAACAAAAAAAATTTAAGAAGTTTCCCGAGACACCTGTTGGTGTATTTTAGATATATCGCCACCAAGATTATCTAAGATAATTTCACTAACTTTATATCCTAATTGCAAAGCATTAATTACCTTCTGCCTTATGATCAGGTACAATGATTAACAAGGGGTGTTAAAAAACTTTTTGGTTATTTTGGTCAGTACAGATTTCATTTCTCCACCAACGTGGTCAGGATATTGGGCAGAAAAAAGGTTGATGAGGAGATTAATAGGATGAAAGTAATGCTGTGAGGACAGAGACTTTTTATATGATCAATGGTTTGACTTAAAGTTAGTAAAAAAACTAGAAATTAGGCAAGCTAATTCCATTGAAAAGTGATATTAAATCATTTGTTTGACTTGATTTGTCAGTTGCATCAAAATAATTTAAAACATTTCTGTACGTAGAAACTGAATACTTTGGATATTATGCTCACTAAATACCTGCAAGTACATAATACCATAATATCATGAATAAAAGACACTAAAATGAATGTGTATCTTTTTAAAAAAATACAAATGAAATGTCTGAACATTTCAACATAATAAATGTAGAGATTTGCCACTGTTGTTTTATGTTGACATTTATTTCATAGCAACAAGAGCTGCAGAGCAGCTTTTACTGTCTTGGGTTGACACTTATACAACAGAGATTGATCATGTTCACCTGGTAGCTTAGAACGGTTTTGTATTCGATGGTATCCAATTTGTCTTCAAAAAGCCTTGCTTTACCCATCTCATAAAAGCTTCAGAATCAGGAAAGCTCCTAAAGGGAAAAACACCAACCAATAACTTGGTGTTCTGCCTAGAAATGAACACATCTGCATGACAGCATACCCTCTCCTGAGGCAAGGAATCAGCAAATAAAAAGTCTTTTTGGTTGCCATGCTGGACTCGGCATGAAGTCTCGTGGGAAGATGGGTATTTTTTGCCGGTTTCTATACGATCCAAACAGCTTAAAACTTTTTTTTAAGTGCCAAAACAAAAATAGTTTTCAACTTCACTGGACCGTAATCTTGAATAAGTAGGGGGAAGTGTGCTGGCATTAACAACCCAAATTCATTACTGTGCTTTTCTCCTATATTGAAAATAATGAATGATGACTATCAATCTTAATTTGTATGTGGTGTGTTGGTATGTTGTTAGGCATTCACAGTGGGCTATGACTTCCCATTTCCTGGAAAGTAATGGAGCATATGCTTTACTATAAACAGATTTTGTAATGAAAAGTGAATTTCACTCAGAGACCACTTGGAAGCCTAAAATGTTCTGACAGATTGCATGGGGGGAAATATATCTATATAGATGATTCACTGGGTTTAAAGGCTATCATAGAACTCAACGTTATAGAATAATATTGTGTGTTTATGTGTACCTATTAGCTTGTTTTTCTCTACGGTTTTAATACCATACTGAAAACTATGAGTGTTGAGTGAAAAAGGTTGCCATGATCTTCACTAGAAAAGCCAAGTCTTCTTCTAGAGCTTTCCCATGCTAAATCGATGTCTAGACTCCATCTCTATGGACATGCACAGAAAAATATTCGACTTCACTAAAAGAGGAACTCTAAGGCCATTTTTCAGTGGCAGACATGCTGGTCCCATTTCAGAAGTTCAAGATACAAAATAAGAAGCAGGGCAAGACCAGGAAGTTTGATAAAAACCAAAGGACAAAATCTTTTAAAGTTCCAGCTTTTTGGAGGAATGCACTCAGCATCAGCCTTGCCGCAGGTCCTTGAGCTTCCTCAAGGTCTAGAAAAGGAGGAAGCAATGTGAAGAAGCTCATGCAAGGCAGCATTGTCTCTAATTCTAGGATGCTCAACAGTATCAAGAACTCATTTTAGCTTTTACATAAAGAGTCAGAGTCATTCTCTGGAAGGAGATGCCAATTTTTAACATAATCAACAATTTACAAATAGGATTACAATGCACTCCTATAACTAAACGAAATAATCTGAGGGAGCAAAGTGGTTTTAGTCTATTGCTAATAACAAACCCTCACTTATCCGTTTTAGAAAATACTATTTTCATAACGAACCATAAAGATCTTTCCTTCTATAACATTAATTTCTTAAAAGGTAAGACTATGGTTTATTCTCTGGAATATCTACCTCTAAGAGGAAAAATGTTACTATTGTAACAATATTTAAGGCAAGATATTTAAATAATTTGGAGCCAAAGAAGGCCGGCATGTTAGTGAATTAAATGGGAGGTTTTGGACTTCCAGACCTGGCCACCATCAACTTTGCATCTTGGAGAAAGTCATGTTCTGATACAGGAAAGTAGGGCTCAGTTTTTTCATCTGTAAATTGAATAAGTGGGTCTAAATGATCTTGCAGGCCACATCTATATCTAACAATAAAAGATTTTGGTTTGCTTCATTTTATTGAACTACATTAAACAAATACACAAGGCAAATCAAAATATAGAAAAGAGATCTATTTTGCAGGCATGTTAGCAAAAGGATATTAGAATAAACTCAGATATTTTCTCATAAGTTGAAAATGTATGATTAAAAGACCCTAATGGTAACCTAAAACATCAGAGAGTCTCAAGTACAATAATACTGCTCACTTTACCAGCTATACCCACAGCAAATTTAATCCCATTACTTCCCATGTGCTGCTGGAATAATCATTTCTGAGTTACAGGATTTAGTCTGTCTGGGACTAGTTACATTTTCATAACATTCAAGAAAAAGAACACTTAGGTAGACATAACTATTCTCCCTGACAATATAATGCAATAAATTCAAAGCAGAGTAACAGCACAATGCAGAATTTTTTTTCTTAAAAGCAAACAGAGGGAGGGTGTAGCTCAGTAGTAGAGCATGTGCTTAGCATGCACGAGGTCCTGGATTCAATCCCCAGTATCTCCGTTACTATAAAGAAACAAACAAACAAACAAACCTAATTTACTAACCCCCCAAACAAAGCAAACAAATCAAACAAAAAACTCAAAGATCTTAGTGTGTAAGACTAGGGTTTATTTGAATTAACTACTAGAATCAAAGTATAAGAACTCAAAAGCTTAGAGTTTAGCCACAGATAGGTAACAGCAAAGGCTTTGAGGCATCCTGATTCAGCAATTATGCTTTTTAGGCACGTGCAATTAAACTCTACACCCAGAATACCCGCCATACCAACAACAGCGAATTTGGAACTTGTATTCTGGATGAGTTCTAATACAGCTGGCCAGCAGTGGGAAGTTCTAGCAAGCTACAGATAGTTTAGGCTAAACTTAAAATGTCTGTAATCAGATGAAAAAAGAATTCATTTTTTTTATTCATTCATTGGTTGATTAGGCAAATACTTATAAAGCATTTACTTTCCTAGGCACTATTTTAGGAACTATGGGCGCTGTGATAAACACACCAAAGCTCCTCCTCCCACAGAGATTACTTTGAAGTCAGGGAGAGAGGAAAAGAAACATATAAGTATATAATATTTGGATGGTGACAAAAGCCACGAAGAAACATAAAGCAGGATACATGTTTGGCACTGAGGCAAATTGACTTTAATAAATTCAATGCCTGTTCACTTAAGGATTCAAGATAGGAAGAAAGGATATGTTCACTGGCTTTGGTCTATCAGCAATGGACCTCCATTTTATCAAGGTTTACTCAATGCCAACTATATGTCCAGCATTGTAAAGATAAAAAATTTTACTCTTTCATTATTTATAAATGTATATTCTGATATTAAAAATCATAATAACATTAAAAGGTATTAGAAACAACAAAGTTGAAATAAGAGTCCAAGCTATAAAGATACATTAAACGGCATCTATTAATTTATTCTTTCAAATTGTTCAAGATTTTTTACTAAGTCAGAAGCAAAAGGTCTGAGAATTAGATTTAGTTCAGAACTTCTTGGCAACAAAGGGGGTAAAAAAGTGATAGGAGGTATATTATGGTAATTAAAGTTTCTGTGTGTGTGTACATGTGTGTGTGCAATGCACACACGTGTTTCAACAGAAGGTGCAACACGTTTTTCTATGCCCTTCATGAAAGCTATAAGCTTTATACAATTAAGTGAAGCCATTTATGGAAGTGTTAAATGAAAGTACTCCAGCTAAAATGCTGTTTAGCCTATAATGAAAAAGAATATGAAAATGGATATGTATATGTATATGTATGATTGAAACATTATGCTGTACATCAGAAAGTGATACAACGTTGTATACTGATTATACTTCAGTTAAAAAAAATTTCAATACTTTTTAGTGCTCTAACTTGATGCAGAAATGGAGCCTAAAATTTTAAGAACAAGCTTATTCATTATAAGCTGTAGATTACCTTTCCTGAATGTTAATGTATTAATATTCTTGAGTGTTTTCCTTGGATCCTAGAGAGCAACAGTTCACCTAACCTCTTGAAGACTCACCAGCAGTGATGATGTTTTGAACTAGTGATGGACAGAAAAAACTCAGGCTGCATATGCAACATATATAGGTTTAAAAGATGATGTTTGATTTCAAAGTTACTGTATTCGGATCCTCTGCTTCTGACCACGATGGGATAACGAATTAATCCTTCCAACTCAAGCAACTAGACAACTGGAAAAAATTATAAAATATGGACTGTGATTCCTTCGAGGGGGTAAAATAAGCCAGGTGAGTCCAATGAATGCCCAGAGTATAGCCTGAAGGTAGCTGCCTGCTTCAGTTCAGGGAAAAGAACCCAGACAGCTCAGCATTCTCGCTGAGTTGAGAAGATCAGAGTTTAGGGAGGGCAGGAGGGCTAGTAATTGCAAAGAGGGTATTAGAAACGAGGGAGCTGAACAGAGACAGAGCTCCAGGGTCTCCGGAGGGTTTTCCGGTGAGTCTGGCTGAATACTGACATGATTATGTGAGAGAAAACCACCCAAGGCTGAAGAAAGGAACCTCAGTGTGAACAATTCTCAGAGTTCATGCAAAGCTAATCACAATTCATGTTTCCA